AAAAAAAAAGAAAAGTTTCAGAAAAAAAATAAAAATCCATTCGATGACCGCAGTTAAGATATATAGCCCCAGCTAGGTGATACTTTATAGGATTAGGATGCCTAAAGTTAGACTTGTGTTCATGGAAATGTATATATCAGCTGTGTTTGCTAAGAAAATATTTAGATTAATTAAGATCTTTAGTAATTCAATTTAAAAAATGGGGGGAAACAGTATAGAAAGTTAAAAAAAAAAAAAAAAAGAGTTTTGCTAGAGGGCCTGTACGCTCGCCAGAGAGACAAAGAGACAGAAAGTGAGAAATCTTCACTCTTGGATGGCCTCGCTGCAATCCCTGCTCCTCCATTCTCCTCTGGGATTTTGGGTACACACACACACGCACACGTGCCCAGTGTGAGTTTCAAGGCACTTGGTCTGGACTCACACCGCAATCGGCCATATGGGAGTCCAATGATGTAACTACTCCGCCATCTGCTGGTCCCAGGAAATGGTATTTTTTTAACTGGAATAAATCTGTCAACAAAGAGGTACAAGCTAGCTGCACTAAATATCCTCTGTGGCTTCTTATTAAAAATATAAATTAAAGTTGGGCATAGGCCCTTTACTTCCCACATCTGTTTACTATTCTAGCTCCATTATAAATACTGTAAAGCAGGGTTCCCATACAAGCAAGATTAATTCCCTGTTCCCAAAGCCTCTGCAGACACTGCAATGGATTGTTCATAAGGCTCACAAGACAGGCCTAGGCGTTGCTTCTAACCCTTGACCAATGAAGAGATAAGTCCTTTACGTCCAAGCTTAACAAGAGCGAAGAGGAAGCTGGGTTGGGTCTATAAGCAGAGAGGTGGTACAGACCAACGGTTAAGAGCTCAGTCTTAGGACATAGACACGCCACCCCAAACCCAGCTCTTCTGCAGCATACATGTGTGACCCAGAGCAATTCATTTAGCCCCTCAAGAGATTCAGTTTTCGACCAACAAAATGGAGATAACAAGAGAATCTGATAAAGTTGGAGGCCTGTAACAGAATGATATGGAAGACAGTAAGAACTAAAACAAAGTGGGCGGAGCTAATTACCAAGTACAGAATCAGTTTCTATGATAAGCAGGACAGGAAAAGCCCTGCTACTCTTTCAATCTGCCCAGGTTGAGCTACCACCGAGATACAAAAAACATAACCTCAGAAGCAAAAAAGGTAGTACAGAAAGCAAAAATAAATAAATAAAAGGGGGCCAGTCCCTTGACCTGGTAACTAAGGGAGTCAGATACCACATGGCCAACCATGGTCTGAATCTCAGCCCTGGAAGTTTGAGAAACATGCCAGGTGTATATGTACATCTGTCCCAAATTCCGAGAGAGTAGAGAAGTGGAGGAGAAGGGGTTGACTGCCCTGTGACCATTGGTCCTCTTTCTTCCACCCCCTCACAAGTGCATGTGTCCTCTGGTCTAAAAAAAAGGCAAAAAACAGAAGAGGATATGACAATAGAAATAAAATCAGTTCTCAGGACCAGCAATTGGCGTAATGACTATGACACTGGACTCTCATGTAGTCGACCATGGTTTGAGTCCCAGACAGTGACTTAAACTCATACCGAGCCCATGTGCATGCATGCCCAAGATCCCAAGAGGAGAATGGAGGAGAAGGGATTGTGGCGTGGCCACCCCACCGGGGGGTGATTTCTCGCTTTCTGTCTCTCTGCCTCTCTCTGTCTTTCTGGCAAGTACACGCACCCTATAGCGAAAACCTCTCCAAAAAAAAAAAAAAAAGAAATAAAATCAGTTCTTGATTAACCATGCTGACGAGAGGGAAGGATGACTGCATTTATATCAAAGAAAAAAAAAAACACACTTCCTCAAAATAATAAAATAATACAATGGAATACAAATGTAGGTTTGGTTTTTAACTACAGATGGTAGCTTACTGAAGTACATGGTATATCATAGAGAAGGCAAGAGAGCACAGCTATTCAGAGTATGGGTCCTGGGGTCAGACTGCCGGCACTCAAATCCTGGCTTCACCACTTCCAAGATATGATATGAAGCAAGTTACAGAATCTCTTTATGTCTCAGTTTCCTCATCTATAAAATGGGCAAATATTAGTATTTGCCAGTATTACAAGATTACTGTGAATATTAAATTTGTTAGTATGTATACACTGATGATTAAAAGAGAGTTTAGCTCATAATCGGTACTTATTAAACAGCTTTTATATTACTCCAATTGTCGCTGTTATTTTGCATGATTTAAAACTTCAGTGATTATGTTTAACTTACTAAAATTTGTTTACTTTCCCCGAACACAAATTAGGTGATAACAGGGGGATATAGGAAAAGCAGGTAGGATTTAGAAGCATGCAGAGCAAGAATGGAATCAGACCAGGATAAAAATGTGCAGTGCATAGTCAAAGAACAGATAAATTCAGGTTAAAAGAAAAGTAGGTACAATGGATAAAGGGACAGGAAGACAGATGGATTTATAATAAAGCAAGTAGAACAAAATATTAATGGTAGAATTGGATCGTGGGTGTATGAGTCTCCACTGTAAAATTCTATCAACTTTATGTCTAAAAATATTCATAATAAGCTAGAGAGAAAATAGGAAACGGACAAAGAGGTATCCACCCAAGTTCTGAGTTACAGCTATACTGCCTGTCCTCTGAGCACAGGCTCCACAGCAAACTTGGACAGAACCTGATGGTTTGGGGCCTCTGGCCGATCGCTGACACTCCTGCACCAGGTGAGCAGTGGCTGGGTGCTAACCAGGACCATCTTAGCACAAGTGGATGCAGGCAGAAGGCAGAAGCCCAGAGGTTCCACCTAAGAAGTGCCAACTTCACAGGATCATGACATTATTACCCCTTCTCGGGAAAACCTCAAAAATAAGGCTGAAGGTTAAGGAACGGAAAGTAGAGGGTGGACAGGCCACACACACTCACTCGTGGACTCTGCTGTCACCATAGAGATCGCTCAGGCCGAAGCTGACGTAGTGCCAGTGCTCGGGGATGTTGGCAGAAGGGCTCCCCACATTTCTGTACATGCTAACATAGTCCAAGGGATCTGGGCCGCCCAACCTGCAAAAGACAAAACACAGAGGTGTCAATTGGGCAGGAAAGCCAGATGATGGCAAGCTAAGGATCTCCGTCTTGCAAACCTAGAGGCCCCATCCTCAAAGGACCTAGGGTAAAAGATAATTAAAGGCTACACTTCTCTGGGATGAGCAGCTAAAGCCACCCAACTCCACAAATGCAAGAGGCTCCGGACTCCTGCCCCCAAGAGGTAGGGTTTCTTTTATAACAGAAACAGACTGGGTGGTTGCCCATTTTGCTTTCTCCTGTTTCAAATGATCGATCCCAAATGGGATTGGCAGGGATTATCTCTCTTCTATAGTGCCCGTAAACATGGCAAGCTTCAAGGCAAGAGGTGCATCAGTCAATCAATCGGCCTCTGCTGAAAGACCATCCGGAGCATCCCCAATGGGCATTGTTCCTGGAAGCAGAGGCTCCGCTCCACTCCTGCCTCTTAGACAGCTAATTCCTGAAAGACTATATTGTACCCTATGTTAATTACAGTTGGTTCTAAACAAACCCACAGCCACCGGTTCACAGACCCTGGCCTGCACCCCACAGGTCAAAGCTGGTCTTTTATCACGGCATGCGACAAAGGCCAAACTTAGGCTAGCTCAGTTTTGCAAAGAGAACTGCCGCAGGAACAAGGCTCCTGTACTCAGAAAATGGTCCCAAGGGACTGCTGCCTCAAATGCAGAGCTGGGACACCAAGTGACTTGGGGCCTCTGGGGGTCACACTAAATCTAGCTCATGATTCCAGAAGAGAAGCAGTTGAGTTAGAGATTCAGTCATTATCTCAGTCTGATCTAATTCAGTAGGAGTTCCCTTTAGTAATTACTGCTCTTTAAAAAAAAAAAAAAAAAAATCCTGCTTTTCTTCAGAATGTATAGAGAAATGTGTAGATTTGTGTGATACTAGGAGTGTGTGTGTGTGTGTGTGTGCGCACGCACATAATGTGTTGTTTGGTTTGGTTTTTTTTTCCCATGGTTCCTGTCTCCTAACTATAACTATTTTGCCTTTTCTCCTTGGTTCCTGAAGCCCCTCAAAGCAAGTCAAAGAAACTAGAATTTCTCTTCTCCAAGTTTGGTCATAGAAACTAAAAATATGGTATAATGGTTACATCGCTGGACTCCCAAGTACTCCACTGCAGTTCGAGTCCTGGACCTGGTGGCTTAAAACTCACTCTAGGTGCGCGTGTGTGTGCATGCCCAAGACCCAGAGAGGATAATGAAGGAGAAGGGATTGTGTCATGCCCCCCCCCGGGGGGGGTGCTTTCTTGCTTTCTTTCTGGCGAGTGCACACGCCCTATAGCAAAAATCTCTCTCCAAAAATAAATAAACTAAAAATAAGCTCTAGTTTTCCACTGCTTTTCTGTCTTAGAGAGGGCCATAAAGAAATTCTCTGACGGAACCATGTAACAGTAAATCCTAAGACTGCATTTTAGAAGGGGTCCTGCCCCATGCCCCAGGGATAAGAAATACTACACAGAGGAGCCAAGAAGAATCTGGACAGGCCTTGCTGTGTTTCTCCACTAGGCTATTAACATAAGCATACCCTTTTGGTTCAATCACTTCTCCACATGATTGTCCATGGTTCAATCATACCTATGCATGAAATCCCCATAAAAAGCCCAAAGAGATCAGCCTCAGTGACGGATGCCTCTAAGACACTGTTTTGCAGGCTAGAATCACATGGAGAGGCCAGGTTCAATTCCCAGTCCAACCTTAAGGTTGGGCACAGTGGTGTAAGCCTGTAATACCAATGACTCGGGGAGGCTAAGGTATGAGGATTGTGAGCTTGAGGCTGGCCTGGACAAGAGAGAGAGAGCCTGTGTCTTAACAACAACAACAAAAAGATCCATGTCTGTAGTCTCAGCTGGGAGCTGAAGCAGGTGATACAGCAAGACTTTGTCTTTATAAAGAAATTTAAAAGGGGGACCAGCAGGTAGTGTAGTGGTTAAGGTACTAGACTCCAAGATGGTCAACTGCGGTTTGAGTCCCAGACCTGGCAACATGAAACTCACACCAGGCATGTGTGCCCAAAATCCTGAGAGGAGAAGGGATTGCAGCGTGGCCATCCCTTCCAGGGCAGTGATTTTTCACTTTCTCTCTCATAGTCTCTGTTTCACCAGTGAGCACACATATCCTATAGCAAAAAAAAAAAAAAAAAAAAT